TATGTCATTATTTATATATTTAGGAATAGGGTTAATCGGAAAAATGATTTGAAATTATAAAAAAAGACATTAAACTGTTGAAAAATTTAGAAAAGTGTGCTAAAAGCCAATATAAGAAAAAAAAGTTATTTAGATCCTTATGTATAATTAAAACACATTTTTAGGTATTAAAGTATAGTCTAATAATTATTAGACTCTAATTTGTTCAAAAAAAATAAAAAAAAATAACTCTTTAAGATCAAAATCAAGTCGTCAACTTTCAAGTTCCACTGGTAATAATTTACTGCTTGCAAAATTACAAGAAATATCGGGGTAAACGTAGGACAAATCCARGAGCGATGGTTATAATATATTTTAATAAAACGTGTCTTGACTAGACTCGCTGATTGACCAACGTAGAGCCTAAACAATGATTGCTTGAGACTTGAAATTTTTACTAGGTCATCTTATCATCATTTAAGACGTGCGTTAAGAAGCAATTTTCTTTATAAGAAATTTCTTTGTAGTCTTAACGATTTGATGAAACGTACACGTAGTCTGATTATATTATACTTATAAACGTATCTCAAAGTTAAATATACTGATGTTTCCAGGTATTATTGTAAAATCAATTGATACATTGACCGTTTYATTTATAATMTGATATATTATATTACATTTTTGCAGGTAGCCACAGTGATTGAGTACCTCAAAACATATTCATCATTATTTATATCAGTGTTAATGTTTATGACTGCTGACTATTTTCTGTATAAGCCAAACATTATATTTTTGACTGTTTGTCCATGTGTCTCCTATTTTCTCATGACTGGTTCACCCAGTTATACGCAGCTGAGGGTTAGTACGATTAAGTATTTCATAGATAATAGTAGGTAATATTATGTTAGGTATGATATAGTTGGTTAATATTTTATACATTAATACGTCCGTCAACTTGTGACGTGATCAACATTTTGCTAAGAATTCGCTACATTTTGTTACACTGTTTTTGAAATTTGTTACTCTCTGATTTTTCCAGAATTTCGGAAAATAGAAAATTTACCAGCAATGGCACTTTCTCCAAACAACTCAAAATTTGTATCAACATTTTGTTACGAGTTTGCTACATATTACTACACTATTTTTAGAATATGCTACTGATTTTATGCCCTGATTTTTCCAGGGACATATTCACGTGGCCACACCACGTAGGTACACGAAGTTGCCCCCCCCCACTTTTTGCAAGTTTTTTTGGACAAATTGTAAACCATTGTAAATTAATTGTAGATAATTTTTTACCCAATCCCTAATTTGTAATTCATCTGGGAGCTCAGGAATATTATTATTATTTATATATATATTATATCATACCTAATTTTATTTTAATGATGCTTTATARTATTGTTTTTATTTATTTAAAATACTGAATTTAGCTGTCCTCATGTGGTATCGGAGCAATATATAGTGCTAATATGATAGCATTATGCTATTTATACGCAAAAATCGAAAACGCAGAACAATTTCAGATGGCCACTGGTATTGTTTCAGCAGCTATACAACTTGGTAAAGTTGTTGGTGACTTCTCTGCACAAATCATAGTCTCTGCAACCGGAGGGATTTATACTCTCCTGCCATACTGCAATGTGTTCAGTAATCAAACAATTTATAATAATATGTTTTAAATATTATGATAATTATTCTTAATATTCTTAATCACATATATACGATACAAGATTTTAATTTGATTATTTGAAAACGTAAATTTATTTTTTAAATGTTTATATTAATATGTTATAACCTTAGTAAATTTAAAACTCAAAATCCAAACCATGAACTTCCACAACTTATTGAATTGCGTCTTTTGATCAGTGGCACCGAACTTAGAATTTTTTTGTGAAGCGAAATTTATAATTGTTTTCCTACCCACTCTTCCAAATTTTTCAGCCATCTAATATGATATAAAAATTCAYTTAATTATCTATAGAACACCTGACGTAACTTTGTTAACCTATTAGCCGTTACTCCCTACAACTCGACTGTACCCACCCGGCACCAACCCATTTAAGAAGTGTAGCGATAGATCACATATAATATGTGAGTTCGGCACCATTGCTTGGGATAAAAATTAATCGGGGAAATCAGAAGGGCTTATTGGTTATTTGGAACKGGTGAGTACCATGCACTCTTAAAATAAACTATGTGCACTTATAATATTATAGTGGTTTATTTGAATCAATGTGGTTTATTCAAATTGAAAAATCGTAAATAGAAGACTTAAATTATTCACATATAGATATTTAAAGTTTTATATATTCATGGTTAGCATAACATTTTATATAGGCAAATCTCATWTAATTGTTTCAAGGTTTGTTGTTAGCTTCAACTTGGGCTTGTCTAATTCCATCGGTCGAACAGAATAATGATTGGCTAATTTCAAAAGGGTTTTGTGAAGATTCGCCACTTCTTAAATGCGGCGTAGAGAGCAAAATGAAACATTTTGAAAAAAATCAAAGTGAGTAAAGAGTAAAGATTCGTAAACTACGTATTAACTCTTTTTTTTTTTATTATAAATCACTGCGTTTACTTTACTTACTATTTATAATATTTATAATATATTTATAATATAATTTAGCTATCTAATTATGTTACTTGAAGTCGGTAATGTAKATTTGAAGCTTTTATATTTTGATACTTTCTGTTGTTTAGTTATAATCCAGACCAATAAAGAATGCAAAACAGTGATATTTTTTTTAAAAGAAATATTGATGAAATTCAAAAATTCATATTCCAATCCGGTTGTACTAAAAAAAAGTTTATGGTATATAATGGGTATGGCAGCGTACACTCTGGTAAATTAAGTTTTAAAATGTATTTTACTTAGGTATTTATATTGTTATTGGAATTGATTATAATATCGATTCATGAACAGAATATACAATAGATTACTAATTTACTAATATTTTTGTTTAATGAGAATAAACAGGAAAAAATAGTAGATCAAAGATAATAATAAAAATAAGTTAGTATTTATTTGCCATTGCTTTGTTTTTTTCACTGTATTGAACTCTATTTTTTAACGAACACTGATAATTTATATAATTATTATTTAATATAATTATTATTTCTACTGTTACACTATGTAGTACTTACACGGAATAAATGAAATTATTTTAATTTCATTCTTAGTTTGTAGTATTTATAGTAAAATATGGTATAAACTATTGTACTAGTAGGTGTTATGTCGTATGTGTAAAAAAAGTGTAATATAACTATTATTTCTTCTGAAATTTAATGTCTAGTAGTTTTRTAATATTAAATTTATTGTTACAGGTTTTATCCAATATAAACGTTTTGTACTCTTACGTGATCAGAAAACCAGGGAATCACGATGCCTTGTCAAATGGACTAGCCGAGGCAATGGTTAYGTTAGGTGGTTAGTATTTCCCAATATTTTATAGTCAAGTAATAATTATTACTACTTAATAATATTATTTTCTGAAATACAATTATGCTTATATGCCTTTAAACAACGGTTTTCCGATTTTGATGAGTATGACGAATCTTTATTAATATATTATTTAGGTGCTGCAAGTTCGTACCTAATCGGAAAAGTACAATGTGATTGGGCGCGCTATGGTGATATGTTCACGGCATTTTGCTCTATTGTCATGGGAGTGCTAATAATGTCATGTTACTTTTATGATAGACTGATTTTTATATATTTGGCTTACATATTATTTGGTTTAATATGTCAAATGCATTTCGTCGTAATCTAGTGAGTAAAATATATTATTATTAGTCTGATAGTTGAAGATRGARTATATTAAGATTGGGTATATTCTAACATAATATTATTAGGTGTGTAAATATTTTTATTTTTATTTTTTTTTTGGAGGGTTAAAAAATTATTTGATGCCGTGTGCCTTGCAGCACCGTTCTTTAGAGTCTAGATTGAAAATTCAATACAGAGGTTTATTTAAAAAATATATTTTATTTGTTTGCATAGTAGTAAGAAWAATTTGAGTAAACTTTGAAACTAAAAGCAATATCAAATGGCAATATAATTTTAAATGTGCAATGTAACATTTTAACGTCTATGAATATAAACATCACATTTTTAAAGATTTTATTTTTCTTATATTAATTTAACAGCTCTAGTTTACTTGACTTATTTGAAATTTTATCAACCTTGTATTTCAAATAGCTTAATTATTTTTAYGGATTTTRAAATGTTTTTCAAGAAAATTTTCCAAAATAAAATTTAATTCTTAGAGAACGTGCTATTAAGGTGTATGATATACTTATTTAAACCTAGATATATTGATTGTTCACAATTAATATAAATGTAACTTGTTTCTGTACTTATAGCACTGAAATTGCAAAAGAGCTAAAGAGGCAGTGTTATTCTGTAGTAATAGAATTTAATTATTTTGGATCTTTGGCGTTGGTCACTATTTTCACATTATTTTTGATTCAATATAATTTCATGAACATAACTATTCCTGGGAGGGTAAGCCAAAAACTTTATATTTTACATTATTTATTTGAATCCATTCATAATTTTAACTGATGTAGATGCAATGTAAGTATTAAAAACTTTATATTTTACATTATTTATTTGAATCCATTCATAATTTTAACTGATGTAGATGCAATGTAAGTATTAAAAACTTTATATTTTACATTATTATTTACATATTTTCTTAAAAGTATAAAATTTATTTTAGATTCTATTTAACAATAATGTTTATTTTTTTCAGTTTTTGTTCTTTGGCGGCATATATTTTATACTAGGTGTCATATTCATAGTTATTTGTTTACTCGATAATCGATATTAGAAAAAATAAAACATTATACCGGCTATGATAAAAAATAGTTTTATTTTATTATTGGTCAAGGCTGCCCTAGAAGTTCTAACTAATAAACCAACCGGTTTTCAATAAAACGTGGGTTTTATTCATATGTACGTAAGTACTTAGTGTTCAATTAGGTACTAAAATATACCCAATGAGTAAAAATTCATGTTATGTAAAGGCTAGGCATTTTGTTTAAATAAAGTAAAAATAATCATGGAACAACATTGTATATATTATTTTGATAAAATATACAATATTAAAATTATTTATTTATAATATGTACCTAGGTATAATAATTCACTATTATTTAATTGATTTTAATTTTACATATAACTTATATATAAATATTGTAAATAGTATTAATCTTAAATCTCGAGAACGTTAATATTTTTAAATTTTAATCAACATGATTATTGTATTCAATATCATTTAAA